CGGAACCCAGCTCCACCAACATGTTATATTTCAACCCATTTTCTAAAGTGCAGCATTATGTTAAATGCACTGGGTTTTACCCTATTACATTTAAATTTCATGGTTAAACAGTACATGTTAAAATCTAAGCTCAGCTCGGCAGTGACCTAAAATACATAAATATGATTTTACTTACCAAAAAAATGAATTGGAGAATTCTTGGACACTCTGTTAGTGCAATTAATGCCACAGCAAGTCATTTTGTCCAACAATTGCACAAATAATATCCAAAAAAGAATACACAAACGCAGAGACTCAAAATGCCGGAGCAGTTTCCAATCCAGACCGAGGCTCTACTGAGGCCTTTCCACGGAGCTAGCTCTGTGGTCACGTGGGTCGGATGCTCATTAATTATACAGAATTTTAGGCTTTTAATACACTTAAACAGAAGAGTGAGAAAAAAATTCACCCCCCTCAGAGTTGTCATGAGTGTAAACTAGATAATTTAAACAAAAAACATGTTTTGGTACCAGGCTGTAAACATGCTTATTTCTGCTGTGAAATTGGTATTTTTAACATGGGAGTCAATGAGGATTTGCTCGCTTCTGACACCAGCCCCCAGCGGATGAGGGTGGAACTGCAATTTATTTCATTTCCGGGTTTTCCTCAATTTTAGAGTTGCATTGTGGGGGCTTGACTAAGACATAGGAGTTGTCTTTTTATCCTGAGATCACACCTCATGTCAAGTGGGAGAAAATCTAGAAATGACAAGTTTCGGCTGAACATCTTGAGTTTTGACAGTAATACGAAGGATCAAGTAACATGCAGGAGCAGGGGTTTTTGTGTAATATTGCTGCTGTTTTCTGTAATACACCAGAGGAGAATTAGATATGCTCATTCTGAGTTTGATGAGTGATTTCTTATTCTTGTCTGGCTCTGTCCTGCTGAAGATGGTTGTTGCTTATTCAGTTTTTTTTCTCAAATAAAATATTGTTTATTTTTTTGGTTTGTTTGTTTATAAGTAACCTGAAAATCATAATTCTAGAATTTCAAACATCCTCATCAAAGATCTTTTATTGCTGGTGTAAATTAGCACTTAGTGATGGTGAGTTCACAGACCATGAGGAATGTAGAATATTTTGTTGCTGCTTGGTAATTGTGTTCATGGACTAGACAGAAAAAAAGATGTTTGTGTTTCTGCCAGGCTAATCACCAATGAGATAAATTATGCTAGATGTTAGCTGGTTCCATTGATCAAAACTCACTTGTATCACTCACTGACACATGTAATATACCCTAAGTGTTGGCAATCTGCCAAACACATATTTATAAATTTGCTAATCACATATTATTCTGCAGTGAAATCAAATCGGTCATGATTTATCAGGATTTGCATAACTTCGTCCCAAATGTTATTTTTAAACATTTTTCCATGTTCCTATAACAGTTCACCCAAAGGACAAAGTTATTTGATATTATTGAAAGTTTAGTAATTGTTGAATAAATTTCAATAAGTTTGTGCAATTTTGCAATCAACGGCATGTTCCTCCTAAACAAAACATAACACTGAAGTTTCTAAGAAAACTGTTTATTAAGCTGCATTAACAAGATTCACTCAACAGGAAAGCGTTACATTTAATTAAAAGTTTAGCTATTTAGTATGCAAACAATGCACTATAGATTATGCAGGACTGGTTAAAGCGGCTGCACAGTCGTTAGTGCTGTTGCCTTGCAGCAAGGAGGTCCTGGGTTCACGTGTGGGTTCTTTCCAGGTACTCCAGCTTCCTCCCACAGTCCAAAATATGACTGTCAGGTTGATTGGTTTCTCTAAAATTTCCTTAGGGGTGTGTGTGTGTGTGTGTGTGTGTGCTTTGTTGCTTGTCCTGTGTGTCTCTTTGTTGTCCAGCGATGGACTGGCGAGCTGTCTGTTTACCTTTCCTGCTTACCTGAAGGCTGCTAGAGATAGGCACCAGCCTCCAATGGCCCTGTGTGGATAAGTGGGTAAAAAAATGGATGGATGGTTGGTTATAGCTGCAACTAGACATTATTAGCTGCCTTTTGCTAACTGTCACAATTAATAATAATGTACCAGAACAGCCAGCATTTAACATAATTGTGGTGTTAATCACTAGCTCACAGTAAACTCATTTTAGCAGAGCAAAGCTTGAGGAAATCATTCACAAAATACACTGCCTGGCCAAAATAAATGTTGCCACCAAAAAAAAAAGGTCCCACTTAATATTTGTTGGACCGCCTTTAGCTTTGATTACGGTACGTATTTGCTGTGGCATTGTTTTGATAAGCTTCTGCAATGTCACCAGATTTATTTCCACCCATCCTCCATTTTCGGCCCCTTATTCGGGGTTGAGTCGAGGGGGCAGTAGCCTAAAGACTGATTCATGCTTCTCCGTCAGCTCCAACCATCGACATTAATATAGGCTCCAACAGGGAGAGACACGCACGCACGGAGACGTTTTGCTCTCATACTTCTCCGTCTCCTGGGGAGTGTTGCAAAGCAATTCCCCGCCAGGACAACAGAGGGCGTAGCGCTGTTCTGTGGTATCCTGTCATGTATCGGTCCAAGATAGTGTGTTTATATTGTTTTTTTTTTTTTGTTTTTTTTTTTTTTGTATACAAGAGACTTTTTAACACGGACAAATTTGCCTCTCATTCTCCTCCACCTCTTCATGCGCTCCTCACCTCTAAACCCACACTTCCTGTCATTTCCGTCCATAAATAAAATGCCTGCTGCGTATCTTTTCACTCCTCAAGTCACGGGGGAATTAAACGTTCATATTTTTAGAGGTTGTTTTTTTTGTTGTTTGTTCGTCAAGCTTCTCCGTGTCTGCCGCTAGTTATTCTCAGCTCTCTTTATGTTTTGACAGCGGTGCCCTGACCAATCACAAGTTTGTGTTCTCTGTCTCGACAGACAGATGTTTAGAAAAGAGAGCTTGACTCCGTACATCCTTGCGGGGCTCTCCAGCAGGCCCACAAGGACGGATAATGGCGTTGCGTGTCTCCGCACTGACGCAAAAGCATGAATCAGGCTTAAGCAAGGAGGCCCAGACTTCCCTTTCACCAGCCACTTGGGCCAGCTCCTCCGGGGGAATCCTAAGGCGTTCCCTGGCCAGCTGAGAGACGTAGACTCTCCAACATGTCCTGGGTCTTCTTTTAGGCCTTCACCCGGTTGGACGTGCCTCACCAAGGAGGCATCCTATCTAGATGCCCAAGCCACCTCAACTGGCTCCCCTCGATATTTCCACCCAGTGTTGCATTAATATTTCACCAAGATCTTGATGATGGTAGAGTCTGGCCGCTGCACAAAGCCTTCTCAAGCACATACCAAAGATTCTCATTGGGGTTAAGGTCTGGACTCTGTGGTGGCGAGTCCATCTGTGAAAATTATGTCTCATGCTCCCTGAACCACTCTCACAATTTGAACCCATTTAATCCTGGCATTGTTATTTTGAAATACGCTCGTGCCATCAGGGAAGGTGGAATAACCTGGTCATTCAGTATATTCAGGTAGTCAGCTGACCTCAATCTTGGTGCACATCCTGTTGCTGAACCTAGACCTGACCAACTGCAGCAAGCCCAGATCATAGCACTGCCCCCACAGGCTTGCACAGTAGGCACTAGGCGTGATGGATGCATCACTTCATCTTCCCCTCTTCTTACCCTGATGCACCTTCACTCTATAACAGGGTCCATCTGGACTCATCAAACCAGTTTTTAATAATGCGTTGGACAGTTCTTAACCCAGTTTTAGTCGTTTCTACAATCTCCTTGGATGTTTCTCTGCTTTATGCCAACGATCTGACCCTTCTCAAACCGACTAACATATTTTCAACAACCACCAGACATGTCTTTCCACATGGTTGTTTAAGAAATGAGAAGCAACTCACTGCACCAATTGGTACGGATGCAACGGATCATCATTGATCCTGATCTGTACGGATCTCTTTCTTTTATAGCAAGTTGCAAATTGAGCAGAAAATGTTTATTTTTTTGTTCTGCAAAATAAAGGGAGAGAGCAAAGCTATTTGTTTTTTTCTTTTCTTTTTCTTTTTGCCGATCCAGAAACGATCCGATCCATGAGTAAAAACCGTGATGTGATCCAAACCGTGACATTTTACATCCGTCTAACCACTACCAGTTGGGGTTAAGATGTCAGCAGTAATTATCCAGTAGGAGGCTCATACCTCATTACTTAGTTAAACTAAATGTGATGACTTATTTTTTGGCTGGGCAGTGTACATTCTTAGCTTTTTTTTTTCTTTCATGAACACGCTCTAGAGTCTTCGGGGGAGTCGCACTTAAAACCTCCCTGGTGGAAATGATCCTTCAGCAGGTTCTCATCTTCAGTCTTTCTGGCAGACTGTGAGCTACAGACAATTCTATTGGTAGACCTTCAACACATTCAAATCCTTTATAATCCAACATCATATGGCCCACCCCTTGCTCACATTGTGACTGCCAACTTGGTCAACCGTCCTCTGTGCATCACAGCATAGTGGCATACGAACCAGTTCCATTTATAGACTTTGAGTTACATTACTTTACACCTGGATCTTTTGGAATGAGGTCAATTCCAACATAATCACAGTAACATCTTTTCATCGTGCATTTGCTCATATAAATGGGTGATTTTTGATTACTGGAACCCAACGAGAAGGTATGATGACTCAGCTCGTTTCTAGTCAACATTCAGGGAGGGGATTACCGAAACTGTCTACTGAACAATTCACTATTGTCTAACTGATGAGAGGAAACAGTCAATCAATCAATCAAAGCTTTATTTATAAATAAAGCTTTGATTGATTGATTGAAGTCTTTTCTCTGCACCTTACCAGTTAAGACTTACCTCTCAGGACTCGCCTTTATCTGCTCTCCCCCTTCTCAGATGCTGCGCAGGAAAGATATTGATTGATTGTTAAATTGATTGTTAAATTGTTAAATTGATTGTTAAATGTTGCACCTGTCTTCTTGGATCTGCACTTAATAGTGAAATTCTTTTGCAGCTTCAGGGTGTTGAAGATGGCAGTGTGGATTCAGGCCCAGCAGCTTCAGGGAGATGCTCTGCACCAGATGCAGTCTCTGTACGGTCAGCACTTCCCCATTGAAGTACGGCATTATCTCTCACAGTGGTTAGAGAGTCAGCTCTGGTGAGTTTAACTTAGGCTTTTAAAACTCCTTAATTAATTCAAATATGTGTTTTTAACTTCTATTTAGCTTAAGTCCATGTTTCTTTAAGGTTTTCTGTTTGTGTGTCGTTAGGGATGCAATAGATCTGGAAAACCCACAGGAGGAGTTTAAGGCTAAGCGCCTCCTGGACAGTCTGATTCTAGAGCTGCAAAACAAGGCTGAGCACCAGGTTGGAGAGGATGGCTTCCTGCTTAAAATCAAACTGGGACACTATGCTAACCAGCTCAAGGTAAGTTAGCTAACTCAGCTTGCTAGAGTTCATTACAAAATTGATTTCTTGATTTATGCAAGAAATAAACACATTCAGATTGTTTTCAAAGGCAGTTTTTTTTAAGAATTGAAATCCTGGAAATGGCCACAGGTTATTCCTGTATCTGCTGCTTATTTTGATTTGCATTTCAATTTTTGCTCCAGTTCTCTTAACTTTTCATTATAATAGTCAACTTGTGCAATTTTACAGGATGTCAAAACAACAGGGCAATCTGGTTAGTCAAGTGAACCTGCAGCCTCCTCTGGCTCATTTCTTTAAAATGAGTGGAACATTTACTGTTCTGATCAGTCTGTTTGAGTTGTTCTCTATTTTATAAAGATACAATTAAAATGCACTCAAGATAAAAGTAGTAGTAAATGTATGCAAATAATGCAAATATATATATTTTTTTCATTTATGAAAATGTATAAAATATTTTACTAAAAAAATGAACAGAAATAAATACGTGCTGCCAAAGAAAATAATTCTACCTCACCTGACGTCAGCAGAATGCTTGAGTTGCTTACAATGAAACAAGACGGTGCGTGTTTAAGACGCTCAACTGTTCAGCTCAGTTGCCTGCCTCGCAGTAGTTCTTAGAAACAGTGCATAGTACACACTGTGTTTTCAGAACAGGTTGTATCCTCTCCGAGGAAAACGAGAACAGCCCAAGTGAGTTCTAAGGTAGCCAGCCAGCGCTGCTATTTATGATCAAATTCCCTGCCTCCAGATCAGTTCCTCCCCCAACTCAAATGCAAACAAAACAAAATGCTGATGAAATTTAATAGGAAAAGCCATTTCAACCATAATGTCATTTCCAAAACCAATGAAGATTATTACAATTTAACATTTGTAAAATGATCAAAAGATAAAAAAGGTGAATCTGTGATTTGGAGCAGAAAAGTAACAAACTAGCTGTATGTGTACACTAGTGAGTGTGCCATGCTGCGTCTCATTAAGCTGATGGATTTTAGCGTGTCCCCAGTGTTGCCGCAGATGATAAGGTTTTTTTTTCTTTTTTGAATCAGCTAAATTGTTGTGTCCTTTCTGCCGCGGCCACCCGACTCGTCAGGAGCTTATTGGGTCTTAACACGGTTCATGTGTTTCTTCCCTTTCAGAGCACGTATGACCGCTGTCCTCTGGAGCTGGTCCGATGTATCAAACACATCCTCTACACCGAGCAGAGGCTCATCAGAGAGGCCACAAATGTGAGTGAGGTACACGGGGATGCGAGTCACATGTCATATCACCTGCAAACACAACCCCATGCAATATTCATTTTATATACTGAACAGAGCCCAGTAACAGAAAGGGGACTACATAATGGAGCTTGATTCAGAAATTGGGTAATTGGGTAACTGCTCTCCGTCTCCTTTGTTTTTACAAGTGATGGATTATAAAGATGATGTTTTCAGTCATATGGTAAAACGTTCTCTTTTAAACAAACCTTTGGGTTTTCTCCGCTGTAATTCAGCCACATGGAATAGATCAAAAGCGCTACTATGTCACAGTTTATGAAATGCAGTTATGAAATGGTGGAGCCGGTGGTGTGTAAAACATCTGACCCTCAGCGAGTCCTGTGGAGAATTGATTTTCTGTCACAACACAGTCTTTTTCCATACTTGGCGTGAATACATTCCATCCTGTTTATCCTGAGCTATTGTTGCTCCAAAGTGCATTCAGTGTGCTCCTAGGTGACCACGCAGTGAGACTGTGCAAGCACGTGCTTTCCTCCAGCTCAGTTTTCTGTGTCGTCACAGTCTTTGCTCTTGTTCGCCGGGAAGTTTGTTGCCAGCTAGGCCAACGGCCTCATAATCACCCCAGAGATGTCTTCTAAATATCAGCTCACCAGTGGCCAACAATGCACTCCTTAAACAATCCAGTCTGGTCACTTTCAGATTCTGATCATACAATGGGAAAACCAACTTTACTGGTCCCGCATGTTTAACCTATCTATCTCTGTTCATCTCAAACTTTTTTAGTCGAGCTCTCCAGTGGGAGGGATGATGGACAGCATGTCTCAGAAATATCAACAGATCAATCAGGCCTTTGAGGAGCTCCGCCTGCTCACCCAGGACACCGAGAACGACCTGCGCAAACTCCAGCACAACCAGGAGTACTTCATCATCCAGTACCAGGAGAGCCTTCGCATCCAGGGTAAGGCCAGACCATTCGCCCCCTCAGGGTATCCGCGGATCCTTAAAAAGTCTTAAAAAGTCTTAAATTTGCTTTTTCAAATTTAAGGCCTTAAAAATCCTTAAAAATGACAAATAATCCTTAAATACAGTTTCCAAAGGTCTTAAATTATCAAAGACCCAATAAACAAGATTCTTTTATTTCTATAAAATTTTCGGGAATTTCTAGTTAGTGTTCAGCAAGTTTTGTGTACGATGTTGGCGTAAGCGGAACCGTACACATTCAGTTGGTTGTGAAAGGGGGCTATTTTTAGATGAGCACGCTAGTGGGAGTTTGCGCCATGGGGAAGTGCAACATTAATGGTAACTGGATGGCTAATCCCACGTTCGTGGCGTGGTTAGCACCAGTTCCAGGCAATAGCTGGAAATTATAGCTTAAATTTAATTTTAAAAACTAGCTTAAATTTGGTCCAAGTGGCCTTAAAAAAGGTCTTAAAAAGTCTTAAATTTGGCTCCCTTAAACCTGCAGATACTCTGTAGTTGCTCCAAATTGCTGCAAAAATTCAGTATTTGACCGACTTAAATGTAAGATGGAAATGAACGGCTGCAGGGTAGAAAATTATGTAGCGCTCAAAGTGTAACATTTCGAAATGAAACTCCAACTGGCTTTGATTAAGCTGGTGGAAAAAAAATTCATTTATTTATTGTGAGTGAGAGAGAGAGAGAGAGAGAGAGAGAGAGATTATATACGGTATACACACATATATGTAGACTGATGTTTAGCTAAACTCAACATTTTATCATTGTTATAAATTGAAACAGTCGGGATAAAATTGAATATAGAAAATCAGTGGATATGCTGATATCGGCTAACTGAAGTGTGTTGTTGCTAAGTGATGAAAAGCCCCTCGGGAGCTGACATAAACAGACAGAGTTGCAGTAAACAGCGTTGCACTTTTTCAACATCTGTGCTATTTTAGCAGAGGTTTTCCTGATAAACAGTTTATTCCCCAAAGGGGAGAAAGTTTGTTGTGTATTCATCCACAGGTTAAAAATGTCTACCTTGTGTGTGTGTCAGTGTTTAACTTGTCCACACCCTCCCCAGCTCAGCTGACCAGCCTTGCCACGCTGCCCCCTGCTGACCGCCAGCTACGAGAACCCGCCCTGCTCAGCAAGAGAGCCACTGTGGAGGCATGGCTTACAAGAGAGGCCAACACACTACAGAAATATCGGCTGGTGGGGAGAAAAAAAAGCATTTCACGTTTTTAAACTCGCTCGAGTGTTCTGGATAAGCATTCACTCAGAGAGGGGTCGATGAAATACCTATATGTGGTGTTTTTCTGCTCTGTTTTGCTGGCAGGACCTGGCTGAGAAGCACCAGAAAACACTGCAGCTGTTGAGGAAGCAGCAGACGGTCATCCTGGATGACGAGTTGATCCAGTGGAAGAGACGGCAACAGCTGGCAGGCAACGGGGGCCCACCAGAGGGAGGCCTGGACATCCTTCAGTCCTGGTGAGTTCTTTTCCACCTCCTGCTGAGAGCATAGCTCCTAGATGCCCTCATGTAGTGAAGGATCATGGGTTTATTAGTCTCCAACCATCCACCTCTGGGTTTATATCCAAAGATTATTGGATCTCGACGGGAGAGAGACCTACAGGGGCTGACATTTCTGTCTTATTGCCTTCTAATCTTGTGTTTTTATTGACTGTCATCTTTTTAGTTTGAATATCAATTATTCTGTCTGAACTTTGAGGTGTTTTTAACTCATCTTTTAATCTTTGTTCCTTTTTAAGTCGAACTTTTTGAATAAGCAAAAACTTTAACCATTTACATGAAACAAAACATTTCTTGGTCACATGTCAGGTGCGAGAAGCTGGCTGAAACCATTTGGCAAAACAGGCAGCAGATTCGGAGAGCCGAGCACCTCAGACAGCAGCTGCCCATACCCGGACCTATCGAAGAGCTTCTCAATGAACTCAACAGCACCATCACAGACATCATCTCAGCACTGGTCACCAGGTTGGTGTCTCTTTAAGTTTAGTTAAGCCAAGTATTTTCTAAGAAGGAAGATTTTATTGCATCAGTTTTGGTCAGTTGAGCTCTTTGTTGGCTTTTGTGGTTTCTCAGGTCAGCTCATGGGAAGACACGTGTCTAAAACTGAATTTCTCAGGAAATTCTATCCATCAAATGATTTCTTTCAACCAGTGAAGTCACAAATCAGTTTACTATTTCAGTTCATTCAGCCATTATCAGTGACGGCATATGACTAACTCACTTAGAAGTCAGAGGAGCAACTGGTGTTTCTGCGTAGAGCAGCCAAACAGACTGGTGCTGTCAGAGGTCTCAGAAAGACCGGCGCATAAAAGTGCCTGAAGCTAAAGCGGAGGACACAAATCCACCTAAAGAGGTCTACAGAGACAGACAGTATGCATTGTGAACGCAAGGGCACATGCAACTTCTTTCAGTCCATTATAGTAGTCCCCAAAGGCAGATCTGCCAGGGTCTTTTAGCCCACCAGCATTTCTGAACACAAGCACTCTGAAGTTTCTGACAGCATCCTCTCCCGCTGTCTTCTAAGAGGGTCCCTACAGGGACCAGTAACGCACAAGGAAGTCATGTCATTGTCACAGCAATTTCTGACTGGCTGCTGATGAGTCTGTGTCCAGGCAGTAATGCACTGTTTCTTCAGCAGTGTTCTCTCCAGGTTCCCCCCAAATCCCAGAAGTTTTCACACTGGGAAAGGGAGAGTGCTGTCGTCCCATCACCACTTAGTTCAGCTACAGACCAGAAGCCTTTAAGGCTCCTGGCAACAAAATATTTTTGCTTCTAAGCTCTCCCTGAGCCCCGAGGACTACTCTTTTGGCCGTGTCTGCTGTTGTTGACTTTTCCTTTTTTGGTTTTTTTTTTTTTTTTGGCACCATTGAAATGACAGGAGTGGAAGTTCAGCATTTAAAAAAGGAAATAATTGCTAGGTTGGCAAGTTTACTCAGCAATGATTATTAACCAATGACCTTTCTCTAATGTTCACGTTTACAATAAAGGTCCTTTTCAAAGGCTGATCGGTCGAACCTAAAAAAGCTGCAGGGTGTTCCTTATCATTAACCCATAACCATGGCTATTTGGTACACTGTGTGTGTTACAGTGTCAGAATACACTAGAACTGGGTTCTACTGAAAAACAACCAAATTATATGAGATAAGAAAAATGACATTTTTGAAGTTGTGAATTCACTAAAGCCAAAGTATAGATGGATGTCACATATAAAGACTGAATTGTGCAAAAGTCTTGAGTCGCTTCTTTGTTCTTTTGACATTTTGCTTCCGAGCAGCAGAGCATTATAATTAAAATACTCTGAGTGGTGATGTTTATGCAGGATTGCTGTGAGGCGATCTAAGTTTGGATGGAGACGTCTGCTTTTTCACTCCTTTTCGGTGGATTTACTGAACAGTTCCAGACACACGTGTGTTTCATTGCAATTCCTTTAGTTGATAATTGAAAAATAACAAAGGTAATAAAGTTTTATTGACATGAAATAGCCTTTCATGGTGATTCCTAATAAGCTATCAGCTGGAAACCATAGTACACCGTTCAGATGCTGTTTTACATATTTGATGTTTATTTTCCCTGTTTCTTTAAAGGGATACTATGCAACTTTTTAATGATATTAAATCATTTTCTTGAGCCAGTATGTGCTAAAATGATCATTTACAGAGTTGATTAAAGGCCACCCAGCCGCTATTGCCCCCTGTGGCTAGAATATTCCACTTTCAACTTCAGACTGGTGGGCCGCTCTTTTGGGACCATCGGCATATATACCGGACAAAAATCAAATCAACTTTATTTCTAAAGCGCTTTCACATGGTCCAAATGGACAAACAAAGCGCTGAAAAAATGTCCATAGGTTCAAATTACATGTATTTGAAATAAAATGGGGTTTCCCACCACCACCATTTTGACTGTGTCACATGTCTCGTCCCACCCAGACAATCCAAAAATGGAAAAAGGGGTGGGGCTGTTCCGGTTGGAACAAATCAACCAATGTAGAACTACTAGCTAACTTAGCTAACCCAAGAAGCTAAAGCCTAATTTATACTTCTCCGTCTGCGTCGGAACGGGCACACGCGACGCCACTATGCGTCAACGCAAGAGCCCTTGACGGGCTTGCCGAGGAAGACTGAGACATGCCCCAAATTTTAACCATCCGTCGAAAGAGACGGAGACCGCAAGCTTGTGATTGGTCAAGACGCTGCTTCCTGTTTTCATTCATCAACAGCACCATCTTTGCCACTTCAAGAAATAAGACCTGCTCTATCACTGCTGCCAACCCCAAAATAAAAACTGTCTAACCCTGAAGAAGTCTGAGGAAATGTCTCTGTAAATATCAGAGAAGCACAAATAAATTACAGGTGGTGGTCAACATTTTCACCAAGCTGCTGTGTAGTTGATCAACCTTTTCTAGTCTCTAAAGATGATGTTTTTCTTGAAGGCCTCTGTGTAATATTCACGTTCTTAGGTAAAATATGAAAATGTGGAAAAAATGTTGCTAGATACAATATTTGATCATATGCCACACAGCCTCGATGCATTCAAATGAAGCATTACAGATAATACACACATTTCAAGCTTGTATTCTTCCTTTTTTTAATAAAAAAACAACATTGGTGTGAATATTGGACAAGTCTTCACCCATCAAGTGCTTCAGAAACCCAGTTCTCATGTATTTTGTTGATGATTAATGACTAAATCCAAAAGAAGCAGAGTCCACCCTGCAGCAGAGCTAGATTTGCTTCTACATGCTGTTAGCTTCTTTAAAGGTAATCAAGCTAATCTGCGTGGCTTTGTTATATGCTTTCCTTCTAATGGTATTTCCTTTTGTGTCCCCAGCACCTTCATCATTGAGAAACAGCCTCCTCAGGTTCTAAAAACCCAGACCAAGTTCGCCGCCACAGTACGCCTCCTAGTGGGAGGGAAGTTAAACGTGCACATGAACCCTCCACAGGTCAAAGCCACCATAATTAGTGAGCAGCAAGCCAAGGCCCTTCTGAAAAATGAAAACACACGGAAGTAAGTTTTCTCATTCTGCCAGTGTGTGTGTGTGTGTGTGTGTGTGTGTGTGTGTGTGTGTGTGTGTGTGTGTGTGTGTGTTTAAAAGGCTTTATGTTAAACATTAAAATAAAGTGTTTCAGACTTTCTATGAGGATTATTAAGTCTCAGGGTGTATTTTAACCCGACCTCGGCACAGAAACATGACTGGAACTCTAACAATGCCTGAGAGGAATCTTTGGGGTGGATACAGAATCCATTTTTAGCCTGTTTCACAGTCTGGTTCCACATTCATCATAACTTGCTGACACTATCCTAACCATCTCCAGGTCAGCTAGACCAGTGGACCAGAGGGTCCTCACAATCTGGTCTGTGGTTGTGAGGTTACCAAGTTAATATTTGTGTAAATTACATTGATGAAGTCCCAATAATACACCCAATGTTATAATGAAAACTCTGCATAAGAGTTATATAACTCTGTGTGTCTGTATAAAGTTAGTATTTAATCAGCTGAGGTTTGGGGGGGGTCCTTGATCTAGACGGCTAACAGGAAACGGGGTAAACGGTGGAGCCATCTCTGTATTATTCACCGTGAACAACACGCTCAGAGACATGAGTGTTTTTGATAGAGAGAAGATGGAGATGGAGATAGTAACACATTCCAGTTACACGGGAAAGAAGAACATCATTCTTAGAACCAACATGGTTGGATGATTTCACTGAATACAATCCTCAGCACTTAAATCCGTCCTACGAGATGGAAGAGCTAATTGACTCACGCCTTAATTGTCTTTCTTTCTCAGCGAGAGCAGTGGAGAAATTCTGAACAATAACTGTGTGATGGAGTACCATCAGACCACAGGCACTCTCAGCGCCCACTTCAGGAACATGGTAAGTGGGGCCTTTATGGTCTAGATGAGAAGATTAGCTTTTGATGATGGAATCATCAGAAAGAGGGTGGAGGTACATCAGATACTTAGATTCTTCTGCAAATCCTCACAATTTATTTATTTATTTATTTTTTGTGGAGATTTCCATGAGGTATTTAAATTATATAGAAAATAGAAATATGCCTGTAATTGTTTGGATTTAATCATAAGAAATGTTCAGCTACTAAAGATTTTCCAAATAATTGCTGTTGTGAATTTAAAACAGTCAGCCAAGTGAAACCCTCTTACTGGCTATGGCAGTCTTCAGTGGCATGGACCTCTTCATGCAGCACCTCAGTACCGGCTCAGGAGAAGCTAAAAAGTTGTTGATGTGACCTCAAAACTCTTCTGGGCCTGATCCATATCTGGGTTCTGCAACAGTTAGGCCCCACCCCCTTCACCCGCAGCACCAAAAGGATGTTCTGCCCTCATCGTAGTTGTAAACCCTGCAGGATATACCCAAGAGTCTTGTGACCGTGACCTAGCAGGGCAAAACAGTATGTCATGGAAGCAGGTGGATGTGCAAATGATCCAGGCTGTTTGACCCTTTGAACAGTGGTGCTACACACCAGGGTGCCTGCTCTGGGGGATGTGTTACGAAGCTGGAGCTGATTGGTGTGTCAGACCCTCGGCTCTAATCTTTCATATCAGCAAGACATTCATTCTTACAGCTGATGCTCACTGGAAGTTTTCTATTTTCACACCATTCACTGTAAACCCTAGCAATGGTTGTAGGTAAAAGTCCCAGTATGCATGATGAGGCTTGGTGTGAACTTCACCACATGCTCAAATGCATTGAGGCCCTGCAATGTGTTGGGCTGATTAGCTGTTGAATAGGTGTACCTAATAAAGGGGCAGGTAGATTTGGCTCAGAACCGTCCTTTTGTGGTCCACACACTCCTGCAGACCCCCCCCCCCCCCCCTCTCTCTCTCATGTTGTTAGTAACAGTCCTCCAGAGTCCTCTGGATTATTTAAATGTGACTCAGGTGTGCTGATAGCTCAATGACCTGTGGTTCTGTTTTCTTTGACCCCATCTTTCACTCAGTCTTTAAAAAGGATCAAGCGATCGGACAGACGAGGAGCCGAGTCGGTCACAGAAGAGAAGTTCACCATTCTGTTTGAGTCTCAGTTTAGTGTTGGAAGTAATGAGCTCGTCTTTCAAGTGAAGGTAAAACAACAACAATAATGAAAGTAGCATTGTTTATTTCCCGAATAGCTTTAGCGTTAGCTGCACGTTCTATGCATCAGGTCCTAATGATAATGCAACTTAAACTTTTCCTCTCAGCAACCGTATTTGTAGAGATAATGGACAGTGTCTAGTTCTTCAGTGTTTGCATCATTTATGGTTATTTGATTCTGATCTAATGGCTCGACCTTTTTTCTTGCTGTGGACAGACGTTATCACTTCCAGTTGTGGTGATAGTTCACGGTAGCCAAGACAATAACGCAACAGCAACCGTGTTGTGGGACAATGCTTTTGCAGAGGCGGTGAGAAAACGTTTTATATATTTTAGAAACTTTGAGCACTGCTATTTTATTTAACTGTTCGTCCTAATCTTAATTCTCTACACACGTTACATGATTTTAACACGGTAATAGGTAAAGTCATCAAAAGGTTAGAAATAGAATAAATTTAAAATCAACATATCAATTTATTTTCAAAAAGAAAATGAACTGAGTAAAAGTTTAAATGACCCATAGATGGTTACTAATAAGTAATATTAACCAACTTTTAAATGATAGTCATTAAAATAGAAGCTCCTGTTTGAATGTTTCATTCATAACGATGTTTGCATGTTGCTCCGTGTTTAGTCCTTTCAGCTGAACCCTGAGCTGTCCTCGATGTGTTTGCAGGGTCGAGTGCCTTTCCTCGTGCCAGATAAGGTTCTTTGGCCCCAGCTGTGTGAAGCCATCAACATGAAGTACAAGGCCGAGGTTCAGAGTAACCGGGGCCTGTCTGAGGAGAACCTGGTCTTCTTGGCTCAAAAGGCCTTCAGCAGCACCAGCAACAACCCAGACGACTACCGGAGCATGACGATGACCTGGTCACAGTTTAACAGGGTTAGCATCATGCAGCTTTTAGAAAAGATTGTATCTGTTACGTTCAGCTTTAATGAATGGATTTCTGTCCTGGTGCAATTAGGTCTTTTCCCATTCATGCATTAAAAAACCCACAAGCCACACTCCATAAAACATTTCAACCACATTCTTGGTTTTCTGGAAAGCATTGGCTATCGTTAAGATGTTCATGCATAGAAATAGGTCTTGCTTCATTTGCAGCATCGCTGCTGTTCTGTTCTGTGGTCAACTTGAGAATGAACGCACATTGGTGGCTACTTCTTCATCTTAATGACCCTGTTTGTCCACAAAGAAAAATGCCCGGAGCCTCATCTTCTGGCTTGAAGGCATAAAACGTGCTCACATTCACCACACAACATTATTCTTATTAGACAACTGCAAGATTATGTTTCTCCCATTTCACAAGTGTTCATCTGGGATACGTACGCATGAGCAGCTCTTCCCTGTCACACAGCAATTACTTCCTTCTGTTACAAACTTGATCAAATCAGAAACATAAATGGGACGACTGTGAATCATGGATGAGTTCTTCTTTTTCCACATTAATGGAAGTGGTCGACTTTAGAAAATGCAACACAACGTTTGAAGAGAAATCTGAATGCTGCATTCTTCTGAGAACACGTGTTCCTCGTGTTTGTCTGCAGGAAAGCTTGCCAGGGAGGAACTTCACATTTTGGCAGTGGTTTGACGGAGTGATGGAACTCACAAAAAAGCATCTCAAACCTCACTGGAATGACGGGTAGGGAGGCTTTTTGAGGTTTTCTGTTAGCCGGGTTTAATGTCCGGTTGTAAATTGTGGCACATCAGAAAAATTCAAGCACAGCTCCATCTTTTTTTATTTTATTTTCTTTCTTTATTTATTTTTTTTTTACAATTATTTAACATCTTTCTGTGAACATAAACATTTTCTTGCCCTAATGTGTAAACTCAAGCTCATTTTCTAGTTTTTCCATGGCAACCAGAGAAATGAAACGCAGCGGTGATGGGGGAAATCAGATTTTTTTTTCTATTTATGTGCAATCCTCTCTTTGTAGAGCAATTCTAGGCTTTGTGAACAAGCAGCAGGCTCAGGATATGCTCATGTCCAAACCCAACGGTACCTTTCTTCTACGCTTCAGCGACTCTGAGATCGGAGGCATCACAATTGCATGGGTGGCAGAAAATCCTAACAAAGCAGGTATGATGTGCATAAAAATGACACGTGTAGGACAACAAGCTCATCAGGAATCAGTGCAGTCTAAATAAATGATGTCATGTTACACAGAGAAATGTGAAAAGCCCAGTCTGCATTTGATCAGATGAAATAGTTTCTTCCGTTGTGTTGTTTGCACCTTTTTTACCTCGGTTTGATTCTGAGCAGTTGTTTTTAGCATTTAATTGGTGTGCTAGCAGCATCTGCTGAGAGCGGGTGCAGCGGCCTGAGTAACTGCATTTGTTTTAGTTCTGTCTGCAAATGTCAGCCCGGAACAATTACAACAAAATCCTGCCTCCTAACAAACTTCCACACAGCTCCGTGAACACAGATGAACTTTTAGCTTTATTTCTTATTAAGCTGGGATGGCGTGAGGAAAACCGGAGTTGTCGTGCTGAATGTAAAATACACCGGATCCACTTGTGATCATTTCACACCATCCTCTTAAAAATCTAACTTATGCCTTTGAGATGGACTCATTTCAGTCTTTGGTTGTCCAGACTGACATATTTAAATGAAAGTCGATATTATTCCAGTGCTCCAGATGAGTAAATAAGCAGCTATGACTATTTCAAAATTCACCCGTAGCAATTTAAAAACAGGTTCATGGACAAACTATGTTTTCTTGTTCTTTTTAACTTGCAGGCTGAACGTGAAAATACCCTCCAACCCTTTTTGCTGTATTAGCTTCTGATTCAAAATGCATGAGAAACTTGGAGTTGCAAAGCCAGCGACATTAGCACGTCATAATGTTACGTTAGCATCCCTGGACTCGCCCATCTTGGCTCGTGACGGGGAAGGCTGTTGTAGATTTAACCTTAAGAAAGGAGCAGAGCTTGTCTCGGCTAGTGGAAGCTAACTGTTAGCATTAGCATCTCCACAACACAGAAGAACTCCTCCAGGCTTGTGTTATTTGTGGAGATAAAACATCAACATTGCAGAGCCAACCGAGTCAGTGGTAGAGTCGTGTTGCTGTTATCCAATCAGAGGTGAGATGTCTGCATATCATCGTCGTCTTCCTCCGCTTATCCGGGTCTGGGTCGCGGGGGCAGCATCCCAACTAGGGAGCTCCAGACCGTCCTCTCCCCGGCCACCTCCACCAGTTCCTCCGGCAGGACCCCAAGGCGTTCCCGGACCAGATTGGAGATGAAACCTCTCCAACGTGTCCTGGGTCGACCCGGGGACCTCCTGCCGGCAGGAGATGCCTGAAACACCTCCCCAGGGAGGCGTCCAGGAGGCATCCTGACCAGATGCCCAAACCACCCCAATTGACTCCTTTCGATCCGGAGGAGCAGCGGTTCTACTCCGAGCCCCTCCCGAATGTCCGAGCTCCTCACCCTATCTCTTAAGGCCGAGCCCGGCCACCCTACGGAGGAAACTCATTTCGGCCGCTTGTATCCGCGGTCTCGTTCTTTCGGTCATTACCCAAAGCTCATGACCATAGGTGAGGATTGGGACGTAGATCGACCGGTAAATCGAGAGCTTGGCTTTCTGGCTCAGCTCCCTCTTCCCCACGACAGATCGGCTCAGCGTCCGCATCACTGCAGACGCAGAACTGATCCGCCTGTCGATCTCCCGATCCCTCCTACCCTCACTCGTGAACAAGACCCCGAGATACTTAAACTCCTCCACTTGAGATAGGACCTCTCTCCCGACCCGGAGTTGTCTGCATATCATGAATAATAATGAGTCAAACTCCAAATATTTCCCCTATTTCTGCCCCCCACTCCTCCAGCTAACTTCTACTTCCTGAAACAAGAGCGCCAGAGCTCTTATTCCACCGAGTATGACTCACAAGAGAGCTTTTAGGGTTTATTCCCAAAAATAAAGATACAAGAAAAGGGGTGGCTGTGTGTGCAGCTCCAGCACTAGGGAATGTCCTCTAGAGGTGCACCAAGCGTCTTCTGTGGCAGTTTTAAAAGCAAAGCTAAAATCCCACTTTTATGCCCTTGCTTACGTATGACTCTTTACTGTTTTATGATCGTTTAAATCTGTGAACTCCTTAAATTGTATTATGGTTGGTTTGAGCTATTCTTTTACTGGTTTTAATGTTTTTGCTTTATATAGTTTTTATTTGCTCTCTTAATTTGCCGTGATGTCGTATACTTCTTATCCTTGTTGTCCGGCACTCTGGGGCGCAGACACGCTGTGTAAAAAGGTGCCAATTCAAATAAAGTGGTATGGTATGGTTATTGGTGTTTGCATGTTGCTCTAATCTGAAACAAAATGTTGCTCCCGCTGTTTGTTCAGGTGAAAGGATGGTTTGGAACCTCATGCCGTACACAACCAAAGACTTCTCCATTCGCTCTCTGGCCGATCGGATCAGCGATCTCAATCACCTCCTGTTCCTTTACCCCGACAGAGCCAAAGATGAGGTTTTCTCCAAGTACTACACCCCTCCGCTCTGTAAGTGGCACCCTGTGAAATGTGTCGAGGCAAATGCAAATCTGTAATGGCGTTTTTGTGCTGAATGGCCAAAACCTCTACTTGTTGTTGTTTGTTTAAAAGCTAAAGCAGTGGATGGTTACGTCAAGCCGCAGATCAAACAAGTAGTGCCCGAGTAAGTACCCGTCGTCCGGTTAAATCCTCTTTTTATTCCATTTCTGCTCGGCCTCTCTACAATTTCCTTCACTGCCATGAACATGAAACATTTAGATTTAATCACTGAATGGCGGATCCTGAATTCAGATCAGCTATTAGTTAGCTGTTGCAGTTGGAGGAGGCCAATTAAGGAATGCCAGGGTTCCTGCGCGAGCTCGTCTTCCACTCATCATTAGAGTTAGGCCTGTTAGTTAGCCAGCCGCGCTGCCTGCTTATCTCCATGGTTTTTTTTAGCTGCAGTACAAAAAATGTCTATAATGATATAGAATAGGCTGGGAAACACACAGAGGACCGTTGCTTAGGCAACAGCTGAACAAAGACTCACAGGCTTTTAGCCTAAGCTTACTACAGGTGTGTGTTTTCTCTGTGTGTGCGCGTGTGTGTGTGTGCGCAGCTTTGCTACAGCTAATCCAGATCCGGCAAGTGGAACCCCAACATATATGGATCACGGCGCCTCCCCAGCACCTGTCAATCACTCTCACTCCTACGGAATATACCAGCCGATGTAAGTTACAGCTAAATGTATGGTCTAAATCCATACGGTGAGCTGTCCCACCGTTTGTGTGTTTTGTTGGTGTTTTCCTGCCAGCTGGTCTAAGACCAGGTGGTTGTTTCTGTTCTCTGTGGCAGGAGTGACCCTGTCTTGGACGGGGACGGAGACTTTGACCTCGATGACACCATGGACGTTGCGAGGCACGTGGAAGAGCTTCTCAGGAGGCCCGTCGAGAGCCAATGGGGTGGCCAGCAGTCCTGACCCTCCACCGTCTCCAACGCCACCGTAAAAGTCTTGCCCCACTCACGCTGACATGGTTTAATTCCATTTCATGTCTTTTTTTTTTTTTTTTTTTTTTTTTGCTATAATGTAAAGTTGTTATTAATGGCTGTGATTTTTTTTCTCCTTTCAGCATAAGAGCATGCATGTCAGTGATTTCTTAGTTTATTTGTGTCCATAAATGTTTGTAAAACAGACTAGATATACTGCAAGACCTTCAGTGTTACAGTATTGTGAAAGAGAGTAAGAAATGTCGTCCATTGAAATTGTGCATGTGTTTTCAATTGATTTTAAACTCATTTTGAAAAAGAAAATTACTACTGTATGATGTTATTTCAGAAGCTGAATGTTTTTATTTTATATTATCTGCTTTGTAAATTGGTTATTATTTTGCTAGTGACACTGACCTTGCCCTTTGACAAAAAATAAGAAGAAACTTTAACAAAGAGTTTTAGCTTTTACTCTTAGAATCCTATTCTAATGCATTGCGCGTCAGTTATTCAGATGTATGTACAGCACACTAACCTGAAGGCAGAGCGACTCCCTTTGTTCCGTGCATGACAGCACAAACACACACATCCAAACACGGTACGCTAGCTTAAGATTTATTTGTTCCGATTTGTTCACCAGCTGGAAAGGAGAGGAGCTTTTGCTCCACCCTTGCTCTCACAGGGCTATTTTTCTTCTGTTTGTACACAGAAATGCAAACCTAAGCATTTACCTAGCGCTGCCTGTGTAACGCTTCCTTTCTTCATGAATCACAGACGCTCAGAAAGGTTGGCTGTTCACGGTTTATTCTGCAGAAGACATAAAACACACTCAACAGGTGTCTTCTGATGGTACCAGCAATTGTAGCTCCCTCACAGTGCAAGCTCGCGCTGTCGTTTGACAAGACTTACAATTTCCTTCTCAATAAAGATGGAAAACCATAATTTCTCCCATTTCACAGTCTGTCACACCGTACTTGCATACAAAAAGAAATCTTATAACTTATAAAAATACATTTCCCAACTGTATAAAACAAAATAACAGGATAACAGAAGTATCACTGGCTAATAATTTCCCTCTAGTGGACAAATTAACGGTAGCTCACTACCCTTTCACTTGCTTGCGCTTTACAGACAAAATGACTGTTAACAAGCTCACGTACCTGCAGAAGACATAAAACACACTCAACAGGTGTCTTCTGATGGTACCAGCAATTGTAGCTCCTACAATGTAAAACAATATTACAAAAACCACAGAAAAACAGTAAATCCAAACACATTTTCTGTTATGTGCAGCAACCGTTATAGGGCTGACAAAAGCTTACTGCCTAAGAGCATAAACACGGCAGAAACACTGTTTAACAGCAACCACCCTTTTGTTTCGGTTACACAGAAACATCCTAACATCAATATAAACCTATATACATCGACATGTACAACTTATGTAACAACATTCACACCAGAAACCATAAAAATGTCAGAGTCTTTCATTACCGAACTTACCCTCACAGTGCAAGCTCGCGCTGTGAGGAGCGGTAGCCTTAGCAGCTTCTAAACGTTAGAATGAGATCCGGTTTCTGGGTTTTCAAAATAAAATACAGCAACAACAAAAATGATCAAATTCACACTTAAAATAATAATTAAGAACAGGTAAGTGCATGTTTTTTTTCCAGATGTATCTTTAACTCCGTTACACCTGCTCACCCTCTCAGGTTTCACTGCTCCACTCATCGATGCTACCTCGCATTGTTCCACTGACGGTAGTTGTTAGCGCTAGTTCTGTTGTTCCGTCTACACCGGCCTCTCCAGTAGGTACAGTTGGTGAATGTTGCTCCAGTAATTTGCTTTAATAAATGTGGAGAAGGTCCCCCGCTGCTCGGGCTAACTGTTTAATGCTTGAAACCACTCACATGAAGACATCATCCGGAGTCATGAAGTGTCTTACGCCTGATTGGTATGCCTATGGAAAAAAAGAAAAAAGAAGTGGCTGTGCTTCTAACTTTTCTTCCTCTTTGTTCATTTTTGGTGCAACTGCGTCACGGCTCTGTGGCAAAACAAGCATGTGCATGTCTCTTTGTGACAACACGAACAAGCAAACGGCGTAGATGGACGCTTTGGAAGCTCGCAGACTGAAGAGTTGTTGTCACATTCTGAAGTCTGGGATATCAAGTAGTGTCACTTCTTGTTTATTTATGACTTGTCATTGATTTTGATCCTTTTTATTTATTTTTTTTGTGCATCCCCTTTTAGTTCAAGTTTAAGACAGTATTGCATCTCAGGAATAAATTGATGCAGAACCAATGTACAAGCCAAAAGAAGAAAGCGTTTTATGTAAACAAAATATACTGAATCTATTTTATCTATCGTAGCATTTCTGTGGCACTCTGCAGCTGAATGTAACTGTGTCAGATTCTCCTGAGGAATTATGTTTGTGTAAATCAGAAGTACGAGCTGAGTACAGAGCACCTGGCAATCAGGAAAGAAAATTTAGCTCATGCATTTTATGCTTTTCTTATTTCCCCACATCGGAATATTTAAAATATCCCCTAATTTCTGTTTTTACTCATTTTTATTTGTAGAAATCTCAAGTCGCACACAGGGATTTCATGATAAATCCCTCACCACCGTCCTTCTCATGATTTGTTCCGAAGTAGACTGTGTTTTTTCAACGACGTAGACGGCGCCGTGTGTTGTTTGTCATATGTACCATGTATGTGGTTTGCGTTTGTCGCTTGGAGGTTTTCCAAGAAAACAGTTCTTGAGTTGAAAAGAATAAAATAAAGTTTTATAAATAAATGCTCTCATTCATTTTCCATATCCTGCTCAAGTCTTGCTTTATCACCGCCAGCATCTGGTGAGAAGCTGAGCTCTGGACGTTTCACTGATCCATCACAGGGCCGACACAAGATAAACAACCACATAAAATCCAGAATGGGAGCCATACACTGCTGCTCACAAGTTTGAGGTTTCTTGGAAATGCATGGAATTCTTTTGAGTAGGAAATAAAGCAAATGGATGAGACGCACAGTTATTGTCAGTTAGAAACTAATATTCCAATGAAGTGAATAATATTCAAAAATTGCAGCCAGAAATGTGGTTGCTTAATTTAAATAGTGCAAACACACTGGGAGAATTTTGGGTTGTAGGGTGACATTTGCCGATGTCGAGTGCTGTCCAAAGAAAATGGTCATTTATCACGTTTTAATCTAAATCAGTGTTTCAGGCTCTGCGGTGGAATTTGCTTTAAGCCAGTTGAAGAGGAAAAGCAGCGACGAACTCTTCAGCACTCAAAGTGCTAAAATAAAAGTCTTAAAAGAATTAGAGATACACAAATATGTCAGAAATGAAGTTTTTCACGTCCAGTTCATTTGATACATTCAGATTTGTTTCATGTGCGCTCATAAGAGTAACAAAATAGCTCAATGAATGTAACTTATGGGAATAACACCGTTTAAAATAACGGCGTTACTAAAAAATATATAATTTCAGTAATGAGTAATCTAATTATCGTCTGCTTTTATAACGCCGTTACTGACAAGAAAATGCGTGCGTTACTAATTCAGCAGAGCGGTGTGTTGAAGCTGTCATCAGCTGATCAGGAGCTAAAGTGGCGGATGTTTTCATCCAAGCGCATCACTGCCGTGAAGAACAAGGAAGACATGATGAATAGTCTACGGCTGCAGACCAATGGCGCCCCCAAGCTAAAAAATTGCTGCCCCCCCCCCCCCCCCCCCAGCAAAAGCCAGTATTAATAAATCATATCAATATTAATGTTCACTCAAACTATAAATTGATCTTAGTTATTCAAGATATAATTGTAAAACAAAATAAAAATAATACGATGAGTAAAGAAATGATCAGAATAAAAACAGCTTTCTGCTGCTCACCATTTTAAAAAGTTTTGATCTCCATAGTTTTTGTGAACACAACAGGTGAATTCAATGACAAAAAAATTAATTTTAAAATAAAGTTTGAAATAACATTTTAAATAACTGAAATGTATTTTTCTGAAATGTTTGTAAAATTGAAGTAAAATGTTTTGGATATGTACTGTTTAAAATAAATAAATAAATAAAGGGGCAATGCAATACATCGCCACAGGCTAAACTCTCCCAGAGTTACCACAAGGACCAGTTTGTTGTGCCACCCCATTTAGTTCTCTGGCCACCCCAATCAAAAATGTATGGAGGCGCCCCTGCTGCAGACCCACAGATTTGCTGCTGCAGGAGTGAATCTGCAGCCGTACCCTTCTTGGCGTGACAGCGGGACGTCTCGAAGGCTGCTTATCTGTTCACCGCTCAGACCTCACAATCTTCTACCTTCCTAGATCATCCAACTGTAACCTGTTTCTGATCAATTTTTTAGTCCCTGGTTGCATCAGTCATGGCCGTCTTTACCACCCAGCTTCAGCTCTTCTTTGGGTCTGACCCAAGTTAGTAAATTTAAGTCCTCCATCAGATTTGTGCCTCTTCTAGTGTCATTTTAAAGGATTTTTATTTATTTATGTAACCATTGCTAGATTACCAGCAACAGAAATGTTACTAAAACTGTGCAAGATGACGTTTATTTCAGTAATTTAACTAGACCGAGAGACCATTTAAAGGCTCAGGAACCTATACAGGTGTTTCTATTTGCAATTATAAATTTTAGCTGATTGGGGTCTTGTTAAATGTCACACAGTGACATTTTAGTCTAAATTAGTGTAATGTTCCTGTTTGTAGTTCCTCCTGTTAAGTGCCCATTTATTTCAAGCTTGTAACTTGGTAAGCAACTAAGTTACTTTGTTGATAAAGTAATCAGAAACTATAACTAATTACTTTTTAAAAGTAATGTTCCCAACACTGCTTACCAGACATTTCACAACAATATTATAGTTTTTAATGTTTTGCAGGCTGCTGGTGCATTTTACCATACAGGTAAAGATGCAAACATAATTTTATCAACAAAAAATCTATTCTTCATATGTTGAACATTTATCTTCCGTAGATGATTTAAACCTGTTCTCTCTGGGTACTCCAGCTTCCTCCCACAGTCCGAAAACATGACTGTTAGGTTAATTGGCCTGTCTAAATTGTCCTTGTGTGTGTGTGTGTGTGTGTGTGTGTGTGTGTGTGTGTGTGTGTGTGTGTGTGTGTGTGTGTGTGTGTGAGAGAGAGATTGTTTGTCCTGTGTGTCTCTGTGTTGCCCTGCGATGGACTGGCTCTCTGTCCAGGGTGTATCCTGCCTGATTGCCCGTTGACCGCTGGAGATAGGCACCAGCCCCCCCACAAAAAATTGTAATAAAATAAAATAAAATACAAACATAACCATTCAACCATAAAAAGATACAGGAGCTCTGATCAAAGTCATGTAAATGAATAATATTCAAACATTGCAGTCAGAAATGTGGTTGCTTCATTTAGATATTGTAGACACTCTGGAAGAAGAGCTCAAATCCAAGTTACACACAAAGCCTAATCCAGTCTGTGACTGGCCTCCCCAGAAGGTTAGTTTCTGCCGTCTGGTGGACTGTTAAAGTACTGCACGTGTTTATAAGTGTGAGCTGAAGTTTAAATGCCAATTATGTGCAGTTAGGTGATGCCCGGCATAGATAAGAGAATCTAATTTTCATGGAAGTCAATAAAATGTGACCAGTTGCTGCTTAAACGATTGTCATTATCAGGAAGGTCAGGAATTCCCCGGCTGAGTCTGCCAGATAAAAACTAATGATGAAGCTTGATTCAGATGTGCAGCGTTCCGGGTTTATGATGGTTTGTATTTTACAAAAGAGGCCATCCTGTTTCAGACCGTAAAATGTGTGTTGGATGTGACTGTGATGAAGGTGTAGACTGACCCTAAAGATCAGGAGTTCTTGGTTGTTTTGCAAACTAAAGCCACGAGGTATTCCTGCTGCTGAAGCTAATAGAGTTGATGATAGTGTCGATAATAATGGATTTCAAGTAAGTGCAAAACACCTTCTGCATCCTTTTATGCTACCACATGGGTCTCTGTCTCTGAAAACACACTAAACGTGGGGGAAAAAACAGTCCGTTTCCTGTCAGTATTTGGTTTTAGGAATGATGTGCCTAAAATGAGCCGTTTAAAACAAGTCCCTTATTGTGATGTCACAAATGGAGGAAATTTGTATAGAACCCTTCCAACCTGAGGAGAGAGCTGCTGCAGGAGGAGGAG